GGTGCTTCGCCTAGCATCCCGCAACAACTCCATTACCTCGGGCGTAGCGAGTAGACGAGGGAAGCTGTTGGGTTGCTTCAGCTCCCCCCTCAAATATATATATATTTTTTTCAATTTCGCACGTGTACACGTGTAAAAACACAAACGCACGCACTAACATGCATATCGAGTGGAAGAACTCCCCCTCCCTCCTCCTTGAGGGGCTGCGCAATATATCAACTAGGGGCTGTGCAATTAGGGGGTTGCCCAAAATGCCAACAGCAATGCAGATTCCATATAATACTTCCATTCTGTCGCCATGAGACCCCTCAATGCCTGTCTGCGTCAGAGTGCATTGAAATAAATGTTTTTTTTTTAAATAAGCTTCTCAATCACCTTAGAGCATGCAAGCTTCCCGTACCATGCGCAGAACGTCGGGGTAAAGTCGAGTGAAGCGATCTGAACGAAAGCACCACTTAATGCAGTACACGACATATGTCAGTGATACAGTAGACGTTATACCAAGCGTGAGACCATATACCTAATGTTACGAGAAAAAACAAAAAGTCGACGAACGCGCTTGGCTGAAGCGGAAATTATTGAAACACGGCACTACTTTCATGGCATGCAACGGCGAAGGAAGTATACCGTATCGCACAAGCGTTTCTTTTTAATTTATTCACTGACTTCAGCATTTACCGCCAATTGCTTAAGGACATATTTTTACAGCAGATTGACCGAGTACTTCGCCATAAATGCTACGGTGCTCCGGCAGAGACCAGAAACTTCATGGAAACTTTGTGAGGTGGTCGTTATGACAGAGCTTGGTGTTGCGCAATAGCTATGGTGGAACATGCCCCAGCGCTTAATGCCTTTTATCAATGTCCGGTGTGTTTTTTTTTGTTTCACTATTAAATGCGAAGCATTTATTAGCGTACTTTGGCAATTTTGAACGTATCTATCTATCTGTCTAGCCGTTTACGTTTGGGTGCACTCGCGGTCACCCCCTTGAATTGTCGTGAACCAAAATTAGTATGGGAGGGTAAGATAGTTCGGCGAATAGGACGCACTGGCAAGACTTGAATAATGTCGTAATCCCGTCGCGCACGTCGTCAAACGCTTCCCACCAGACAGGGGCACATACACACGGGCGGGTATGTGCCACTGGTATGCGGGTAAGTGCCACGTGTTATTGACACTTAGTATCTACCCAAAAACGACGAGAACACACGTGGGCAATTTTAACGCAAGAGCGTTAAGAAATACCCGACATCGGTATACCGTCAACCCGACGAATGCAAAGAATAAATGTAAAGGTCCCAGCTGGAATCGAACCCAAGCATTCTGCATGGCAATGAAGCACTTACCAAACAGCTACCCCAGGTATCGAAACTACTTTTCAAATATACGCTAATCTTCGGGAAACGTCAATAGTGCTTGCAGCGCTACCTACCCAATTTTATAAACATTACATATTACCACGTTCCATTTCTCAAGTTTTGTTTTCGCCCCAAAACACTACACAATTCTCAGCGCAAAACGCGCGTGCAATTTTCGAGACGCTTCCGGACTTTAGTAGATCATTTCGATAAGATCACGCCCACTCTGCGAACTGTACAGATTATTCTGGAACATACGCCACCGCCAGTGATAACGCTAGAACATTCGACGGCAAGAGTATAAATGCCGACGCACTTCGCCGCTTGTCAGTTGTTGATCGATGGCCGACGCTCCGTTCGCCGCTATCAGTCCAAGACTGCTACTGTAGTCCGACTTTCCGTTTACTGGGCACAAGTTCGCCCAAATAAACAATTTATTATTCGACTCGCAGAGTGCTACATTCGTCCCCGTCACGACCCCGTGACAATATGTACTCCTTTCATACAGCCGTCACGCCGGGTTAATGTCAAATGTGGTTAGTTGCCATGCACTGAAGTTAATTTATGCAGCAGTGTCCAGGGCCAGCACCTTCACGAGCATCAGCGCTTCATATCAGCTTCTGGTGTATCTGAAAGCCATGTTTTAGTTGGTATCGTTGCGCAAGTGCAAACAACTGGTTATATTAACATCTGCGATTCCTCAACATATGTCTGTGCGTAAAAGATTTGTACATATATCTATAGCGTCATTTCATGAAGTGTCCCTCAATAAAAAAATGCAACATGGTCATCTTCCCTCCGCATGCTTCGCATAACGTCGATTCCCAGGTACGTGGGATCTGCCAAATCTTTTATTGTTTCGCTATTTGCTTGGTTTCGCTAGTTTACTCACTGGACCTAAATTTTGAGGTACAGTTCAAGAAAGTTTTTTTTTTTTTTTGGGGGGGGGGGGGGGTCTTTTTTACATTTTTGTGGTCCTTTCTGTTCTCGTGAAAATTGCGAATAGGCAAACCTGGCCTCTTCTATCATAGTAATATATTTTGACCTGCTACTACGACAGCTTTTATCATGGACATGTATATCCTCGCGACGTCACTTTGCTGCAACTCTAAACACTGTAACTGGCACTCTCAGAGTGCCACTAAATGTACTCTCTAAAGAGCTAAATCTGAATGTACGCCCAGAGGGGCCTACACTCCGTCTTCAAGAAGTTCTGAGCGTCGACCTTTTCTCGGAGCAAGCCTCTGGGATAAAAAAACGATACGATTTGTGGTCAGTCATCGTTGCGAGTCATGTTTAATAGAGTGACCATCATAAGACGGTTGATGAAGATGAACTGACATGTCGACCCGCTCTAATACCTCCTTAGCTAGACACAAAATAAATGGAATTATTTATCAAGCACGCTACCGCTGCCAACGGGCGTGCAAGCGCTTAATGTCGGTACGCCGCAGCAGCAGCCCTGGCTAGCGCACGGGCCTTACGCTTCGATATTTCCTTTCCAGCGTGCCAGCGCTTCTCAGATCAAGCGACAATGTGTGATACATTACCGTGTCATTCACTCACAAACTTCAGTGTCTAGTCTTGATGGCCTCTCTACAATTTGCAGTTCTCCCCTCTGTTCAACCAGCTGAGTGGCTCAGAAGCTAATAATTATTATTATTCTTTAGCGTCAGTCCGCCTTCGGCATAAGCAAAATTCAGTACAACTTGGTAGCAGAAAAGGTGCAAGCGCTGTTCATAAATTCACAGACGCATTAGGAATCATTGTGCTTTGACGCTGTTTACGAGTGAATTGTATGGTTCTGGTATATTTAAAGAGTGCTTTAGGAATGACTGGTATTCTGTAAAATATAATACATTCACTAGACCGTATGCTCTTCGCTTGCACGATATGCACATACCAACTTTCTTTGGCACTGTACCTGCAGGTTGGCATTAGGACCAAGAAAGAAATATGCAAACTGGAAACGCTCACTTGTGACAGAAAGGTTATCTCACGTGTTAAGAAAAACATATGTTAAAAAAGGGGTGCATCACGCATCTCACAAACAGGCACAAAAAAGTAAAAAACCAAGACGCGTGTATACAGTTGATCAGTAAAGTTACGTTTCTTGTGCTGTAGCGATAGTGAAGATGGATTGACTCAAACAATATGTGGTGTTCTTTGTGGTATGCGTAACAGACCGGACTATCTGCTATCAGCATTCGCCCTAGGCGATATTGTCTCCTCCTCCTCTCCACCGTTTCCTGCGCTTTACTTTCCTTCCTTTGCTTTCTTTCCCCCTTCCCCGCTGTGAGCGCGGCTACTTAAGCCCAGCAAATAAACGGCCAGGGGTCTTTTTTGTCATGGCGAGGCCCAGCCAAGTGTTCATCGTCGTCTTGTCTCTGAGCTAAACGTTACATGGTGTCAGAAGTGGTCCTGACGTTCGAAATTGACCTCGTCAAGCCCCCGGAACCGCTGCAACTGTCCGGCAACATCAGGAAAAACTGGCTGGTATTCAAGCAGAAGCTGCAGCTGTTCATCACCGCTACGGAACCGGAGAAGCCCCACCCATCGGCCGTAAAAGCAGCGATTCTTCTGAGCACCGCGGGGGACGAGGCGCTCGATGTCTACAACAACTTCTCGTTTGCCGCAGGTGAGATCAGAGAATATTATGACACGTTAGTGCGGAAGTTTGAGAAATATTGTGTCGACCAGGGTAATGAAGTCTACGAAAGGCACATTTTTCGACTGCGAACACAGGAAGAGGCCGAGCCTTTTGAGCGGTTCCTACGGGACTTAAAAAAGCAAGCAAAGCTGTGCAACTTCGGTACGCTTGAAGAGTCCATGATCAGGGATCAAGTGGTGTTTGGGACAAATAATGCGAAACTTCGAGAAAAGTTGCTGAGTGACAAATACTTAAACTTGCAGAAAGCAGAAGAAATTTGCAAAGCCGCTCAGCTTGCTGCCATTCAGAGCGCAGCATGGTCAAATGAAAGCCTGCACGTTGACTTTACACGCCGCACACACCGCACGAAGTTTGCGAATGGAACTCGGTGTCGAAGTTGTAACAAGGTACATGCCCCCGAGCGGTGCCCGGCGTATGGAAAAACTTGTTATGCATGCAAGAAGCGTAATCACTTCGCCGCATGCTGCAACAATGCGCGCAAGATAAGCGAGGTTGACAAAGCCGAAGAAAGCGATGAAAATTTTGACATCTTGGGCAACAGCATTTGCGGCGTCACCGGAGACATAGCAGCGGATTGGATGGTTCGCGAAAAAATAGCCGGTCAGGAGATACAATTCAAGGTAGATACCGGGTCTCAGGCGAATTAGCTGCCCCTAACCCTGTTCAACCGAATCGCCCACGCAAGCACTCCGCGAAAGAGCGCCGCTGTCCTCGCCGCATACAACGGCAGTGCAATCAAACACGTTGGCGTGGCGACCGAAGATCTCGAGATAAGTGAAGCACAGCATTCAGTCTCGTTCTTTATTGTGAAAAAGGGGCGCCAAGCCATCCTTGGTTTAAAGACATGCCAGCAGTTTGGTCTGGTACCGGTGACGACGGACGCCGTGAATGTAGGCGATGAGCAAACGAAATTCCAGCTTGCATTTCCTGACCTCTTCAGCGGCACCGGCTGCGTCAAGCGACCCTACAAAATGGTGCTAGGAGAGGATGCTGTTCCAGTCGTGCAGCCTGCCCGCAGAGTACCCATAGCGTTGAAAGGACGCCTGCGACAAGAACTGAAACGAATGGAAAAGGCCTCAATCATCGTCAAGGTGGATGAACCAACGGACTGGGTGAGCCCCCTGGTAGTTGTGCACAAGAAGGATGGTACCCTTCGCATTTGCATGGACCCTAGAGGTGTGAACAGGAGCATTAAGCGGGAGCACTATCCTATGCCTTCACGAGATGACATAGAGAGCGAGCTGGCAGGAGCACAATACTTCTCCCGGCTCGACGCTAATGCCGGCTTTCATCAGATTCCTTTAGATGAGGCCACTTCGCGAATATGCACTTTTGCGACACCATTTGGGCGGTACCGTTTTTTGCGTCTGCTTTTCGGAATTTCCTCAGCCGGCGAGGTGTTCCAGAAGACTCTAACAGAGATGTTCGAAAGGCTGCTGGGAGTGCGCGTCTACGTAGACGACGTTTTAATATGACGAACGCGTCATTGCAGTGCTCGGGCGGGCGCAAGAGGAAGGAAGGGCTGACATTTAATCCAGCTAAATGTGTGTTCTGCACCACGCAGGTTGCGTTCCTTGGCGATGTTATCAGAAGAGACGGAATTCGTCCTAGTCCCGATTTAATCGAAAGCGTCCGTGCCATGCCAGCCCCAAAAGATAAACAGGGTGTGCGCAGATTACTCGGGGTTGTGAACTACTTTCGGAAGTACCTGCCAGCTTTGAGCGACAAAACGGCGTTGCTGCGTAGCCTGGTGAAAGAAGCATCGGTGTTTGAGTGGACAACAGCCCATGAGCGCGAATGGGACCAGATCTGCGCAGCGCTCGCTAAGCCTCCGTTGCTGGCTCTTTTTGATGAAAAAAGAAACACTAAGATAACTGCGGACGCCTCAGGAACAGGTATCGGCGCTGCCTTATTGCAAAGACACGGGGATGACTGGCACCCAGTGACCTACGCCTCAAGAGCGCTGACGCCGAGTGAAGAGCGATACGCCCAGATAGAAAAGGAAACACTGGCAATTGTCTTCGCTTGTGAAAAATTTCATCAGTTCGTGTATGAACGAAGCATTACGATAGAAACTGATCACAGGCCATTACTTGCGATTGCCGAAAAGAACATTGCAGATATGCCACCCAGGCTGCAGCGGTTTTTCATCCGTCTTATGAAATATGATTTTTTGTTGCAGTTTGTACCTGGTAGGGACCTGTTACTCGCAGACCTGCTGTCTCGTGCCGCACTACCAACTGGCGGAGGCGATTAAGTCGAGGACGTGGACGTCCACACAACGCAAGTAGTCACCAGCATCATAAGATAAGCGACTATGTTGCAGCTGCAGAAGGAAACCCTCGAAGATCCGCTTCTCAGCCGCACCATGAAACAAATGGAAGATGGCATGGCAATAGGCGGCGAACTGAAACCGTATGCGGAAGAGCTATCCGTGGTCAATGTAGCGGTGCTAAAGGGTTGCAAAGTTGTGGTGCCTAAATCAATGCGTGCGGAAATTCTTGAGCGAATTCACGAAGGCCACTTGGGTATGAACAAGTGCAATGCTAGAGCCCGTAGACTGGTTTTCTGGCCGGGAATGAGCAGTGACATTGAGCAACGAGTGCGAACGTGCAGCGTATGTCGAAAGTACGCATACAGTCAACCGAGTGAACCCCTCCTGCTACAGCCAACGCCCGACCGACCGTGGCATCGCGTAGGCATAGACCTATTTACATTCGCTGGAGAACACTACGTAGTTGTGTTTGATGCCCATTCTAACTTTCCTGACGTCGAGAAACTCGGAGGTACCACGGCGGCGGAAGTAATCGACAAGATATCTGCTATCTTCTCGCGATACGGCATTCCCAACCAAGTTTGCACCGACAACGGGCCTCAATTTGCATCGCGAGAGTTCGCGTCCTTCACGCGCCGATATGACTTCGAGCATATCACCTCAAGTCCAGAGTTCCCACGGTCAAATGGCTTAGCTGAAAAGGGGGTACAGATCGTGAAGCGTATTCTAAAGAAAACCCACGAGTCTCGGGGTGATGTCTTATCGATCTTCTCCCCTTGACAGCGGTCACTCACACGGAGAACTACTGCAAGGTCGCCGCCTGCACGCCACTCTTCCAGAATACAACGTCGACGGAGGCATACCCGTATGGAAACAGCGACAGTCTTCCCGAGGCAGGCCACTACTACCCTTGGAAGCCGGAAATGTGGTCCGGATCAAACATGGAAGCTGGTCAAGCCGAGCGAAAGTGGTACAAGAGACTACACCACGATCATACGTGGTAAGAACGGAAGACCATGGGCTCCTGTGACGGAAACGACAGCACTTGCTGCGAACGGACGAAAACTTCGACGACGAGGTCAGCCCCGAGGGTAATCCGAACCCCGACGCGAGGCCCCCGACGAAGTTCAGTGATGGACACCGAGGCAACATCACGCCGGACAACCCACTGGGAAGTCACCAGGCGCAGCCAGCTCAGCCAGAAGAAGATTATAACGCCACCATTTCTCCAGACACTCCAGGAAGCCCACTGGCTGGCCTGCGCAGGTCAGGACGCCAGCGCAGCCAACCGAAGCGCCTTCACTACGGGCCATCCTTCCATCAAGTAAATGAGTGCAAAAGAAATCAGTGTTTTGAAAATGTGTGAAGAGAAGATGTAACAGACCGGACTATCTGCTATCAGCATTCGTCTAGGCGATATTGTCTCCTCCTCCTCTCCACCGTTTCGTGCGATTTACTTTCCTTCTTTTGCTTTCTTTCCCCCTTCCCCGCTTTGAGCGCGGCTACTTAAGCCCAGCTAATAAACGGCCAGGGGTCTTTTTCGTCATGGCGAGGCCCAGCCAAGTGTTCATCGTCGTCTTGTCTCTGAGTTAAACGTTACAGTATGTCTCCGAAATTTCTCGTGTGGTCTGGTAAGGGTGATTGTGCAAGATTACCAGGCTTTTAAAAATGAGCTTGCATCTGCATGACTGAAAATGCAAGGTGCGATAAGATGGCTTTATTAAATGAATTTTGATGCTCTCTGTGGCATGTTTTGATACATCAACCATTCGGACCATGTATATATGTCAACACAAGAGTAATTCGCTAACCAAGACTTGCACAACAACTGGAAGATCAATTGACATGCCTCTTGTAGTACTTTTTTCTGCCTATTGCAGACTACTGCAATCTTTTACGCCCTCTGGAAGAAATGTTACTAAGCATATGAAACACAACTCTCACCTCATATCGCTTCCCGATTTCCTTTCAGACTGTGCAGAACGTATGCATCGAATAACTGAAATATTCTTAGTTTCTTTAAGGGTGAAGGTCGTCCGATATAAACTTTGTTTGCAGTGTGAATGAGCTGTTCACAAACTAATGCAATATGATATGGGCAGGACGCCACGCCTTCTTGCAGCTGGAAACTATAGCTCAGATAACATGCCCAAGTGTTTTTTTTGTTTTGTTTTTTTTTTCTTCGCCGAACGTAAGTACATCATTATTCCTCATTGAACCATATTTGAATGCACCAACACAGAATTCAATAATGGTCTCACTCAACGCAGTATATACTGCCAGAAAACATTATCCGCAGAGACACTTAAGCATCTTATAAGAAATCGCAAATCATCAGAGCAGGGCATTTCGCACGTTAATTCTAGTTCCATCCCTTCATCTCTAAATACGTTTGGAATGTGTTTACTTTTCCTATTTTCAGCACCTGACTTGTCCATAAACATTAAAAAAATTGTTTAGCTGTAACATTTCTCTGCAGTCTTGTGTTAACAGCCCAATCAAACCACGATGATTAAAAGCCATAGCACTTTATGAGCAGTTGATCGTTGAATAACTATGAATTCCGTGTTCAATCTCACGTTCCTCACGATAGCATGTTTTGACCACATGTATTGGTAGGCAACAACTCGCATGCTGCTCATCGTCTATGTTCGATGTACACCCGCCCAGTGACCCTTACACTAAATGCGTTATTCATTTCACATTTCATGCCTAGATACGTGCAGGTGTGTTGGGATCCTTTTGAACAAGCGGCGGCATGTTCTGTTCGTTTTGTGTTCGCGCGGCGCCAGCGAGCAGCGGGCGGAGGCAGAGCCGTTGCGCTCGGCGTACTAACTTTTCCCGTAGTGCTCCGCGCGCCCACGGGGCGTTGTGGGATTGCTTTAAAAAGGTCAATTGAAATAGCCAAGCATTGCTCTGCTTCGAAAGTGAACCCCGAGCTGTAATTCTGTTTAAGAAGGTGGCTTATGTGCGTCAGAACAATTATCGTAAAAAATTAAGTTCTTATTATTGGTGTCGCGAAATTGTGGTGCCTACGACCGTATTTATATAGTGCGTGGATTGTACGCTGGTGAAGCTTTTGGAGGCGTGCAACGCACCGCAGCGAGAAATCCATGGAACGAAATAAAGTTAAGCTAGTTCGTGAGATAGCAGGAAAAAGTTGAGAATTCAGATGCTGGAAAATTGATTCGATCTGTGTATGCAAGCCTACCACCGTTTTAGCGACGAATCTGTTTAAATCACCTTCAATTTGTATGCGTGGCCTGCCAGAAAATTATCAGTAACAGGTATGTGCCACAGAAAGTGAGTATATCTCACTACACCAAAAGCGAAGAAGGCAACAGTTAACACAACACATTGCTGCGAAACGATGGTGGAGAACCGGGCACCCTGAGTACTTACAACGAGAGGACACTAAAAAACGGGAAAGGCAGCGGTGACTTCAAGAAGAACCCGAGGTGGTGGAAGGTCTCCGCCAACGACGATGTGCCCGCAGATCTGTATACGAGGTGTGCGAACGCTTGGTTTCAGAGCAAGTTTCCGTCTCTGGAGTTTGCGCATCCGCGTCGTGTCTGTGACTGTCTGCGGTTACACACAAACCTCTTTCCGCTGAGAACCAACGTATAAACAAGCTATAAACAGCCTAGACGCAACCACATTAGTCTTCAGAATATCTCAGTTTCGCCGTTTCAAGCCTTGCAAGGCCCAGAACAAGCTTCCCCAAATTATTTTTTGAGCTGTGAAGGCGGTGAACGCTTTGGACTGCAGGAGGTTTCCAAGCAGCATCTAGAGTTTTAGTACCTTCTTCTGTATATTATGTCGCTATATATTATTCTCTAAATCAATAAAAAACATATTCAGTTGGTGGCAATTGTATACAGGCAATTTCAAACTCTCGTGATAACCTCCACGAGATCCCCCCCCCCCCCAAAAACAATTATTAGAACACGGTCCTTCGTATAAGAACACGTATTTATACTATCATAGGGAGCATAATTACACGTTCCTCATGGTTCGTGTATCGATGCAATATCATTATCATGTTGTTATTATTAGGGTTTCCGTGCTTCTTCATAAACATCTACTTCTTCATAACATCTATTGTCATTGTGACGTTTCAGTTCATATGAACTGCTGTTGCAGAAGGTGCCATGCAATATGGCAAATGTGACTTTGCATATATTCGATATCGCCCGAATTTCCATCGATAATAGCATGTAAACCATGTGATCACCTCGAGTTCAGCCACAAGTGACCGAGCACATCTTCACCAATCAGATTTTTTGAAAAGGCTGGTCCTTAGAAGAGCCGACCTTCCAGAGCAGTCGTGCTTCACCATCTCTGATATTGTACAGTACAGTACGAAGAGCATTACTTAAAGCATCCTGGGAATCGCCAGTGTTTCGTGAAACATCAGCGTCGTAGCAAACCTGCAACTGCCAAGGTGCCACGGATGATGACGATGCGGCCAACACTGTGCATCGGGTGGCCGTGAAAACCACGAGCCAACAGTACGCTCTACAGCCCATTACAATCCGCAATTCAAAATTTAGGGAACAACTGGGGGAAAAATACGAAAGAAAACAGAAAAGAAAAGCAAGGAACGAAAACGCGATTGACTGCAACGTCAGTCAGAGGTCTCTCGTCACACTTGCTGCTCGCCAGCATTCGAGTAGTTTCATTTCTGCGACTGCCGCTTTGTTCACACCACAAATATTGCTGTTGTGTTAGTCTGCTTGAATCCCGGAGCAGTCTATCAAGGAGCACCGTTCGCGACCGATGCGCCAATGCCTTCGCACCGCAGCGCCACGGCTAAAGCCACCGCCATAACTGAGGTTCCATGACGGACGTGCAGCGCCATCTCTGTTCGACAAAGGGTTCTACGCAGTTTTCTACATGGCCTCTTATATCGGTGGCTTCCAAACGTTTTGTATGGGAATAACTGACGCACATATTTCTTTGGCGTGTCTTTTACAACTTCATCTCGCATGCTGAAGAGCCGAATTCGGGGACGTGCGCAATTTAGTTTCAGCTTGCTATTCCAGCCAAGTATTCATAAGTGACGATTTTCTAGGCATGAAAACTGCCTATTTTGAATATTATAGAGACCATGTATGGAAGAGTTTTTCCAATCATTTTTTTCAGGCGTCTGTTGTTTATAAGATATAAAACCATGAAGCACTTATAACGAATACAACCGAAAATCCAGATAAAACTCCCGATATTTAGCCATAACCTGTTTTTCTCTGGTTTCTTCTTCCTCAGTTTTTCTCCGCGCCACATTCCTATTTTCTTGGGATGTGTCTCTTTTCCGTGTTCACCGCAACAGCATACCTGCTTCACCTATTTTATGTTGACAGTGGCACCATACCTTTTTCAGTTTTATTCAGATGCCGTATAGAAAAAAACAAGCACATGTCGATTGACACAATCTGAAATTCTCAGTTATCATAAGTTCAACAAAATCTATCGAAGCATGTGCTAACGGGCTGGCGTTTACGCGCATGTTACAAATCTATTACGTGTGCGTGTAGTAGATTAGACTACGTACGTGTCAATTAGGTCAAAATACATGCGTGATTACTTGAGCGTGATATAGAACGTGACATAACTGGTAGTATATCGCCAACGAAATAATATCACCGCGTAAATGAAGAACTTCGTAAGCGCGGCGTGGTTTCGCGGCTGTAGGAGCAGCTGGACGCGATGATCTAAGCAAATGGCCAGTGTTCCTACTCCTTCGCAATATGGGCTGCACCTTTATGCGTACTTGAGCGTCAAGATAATAAAAAAATGTGAGGAGTCCACGTATGCTTATGTGACTACTTCCTAAGCTGGAATTAGAGCAGCCTTAGGATTGGCGTAGAATTGCAGCAGCCAGACGTAAATTGAAGGACGTCACGTCACGTTGCTTTCGCACCAGAGCCCTGGCCACATGTTGTCTCATAAAACATGTAGTCCTGTAACAAAATTAACGCAAGATATCAACACATGGCGTTTTGCACACCGAAATCGGGGCATGATTGTGCGTCATGCCACAAAAAAAAGGTAAGGGGAGTAGTCCAGATTATACTTCGTCATTCTGCATGTGTACCAGTAAATAGCTTGAAGTATTATTGATTGTAGACTGGCTATGATTACAAATGGAATGTTTTCTTTTTCCACGACATGGTAATCAATCAAGGTGACATGAAAAGTTAGTGGTTATTGCTTAAGCCTTCATGCATAATACGAACACTGAGTATGAATTTATGTACGCAAGCGAC